TCTACTATCAAAGAGCAGACTGCCAGATTTGTTGAACTGGTGAAGAAGTATCTGATTAAATGGGGAAACTTTAATGTAGTCTAAAATTTTATTTTCTTAGTGACGAGAGTACAACTTTTATGCAAAAATTTTACTTATTCATGGCTAAAATATCTTTTCAAGACTTTTACATGTAAGTATACTCATTTTTATTTTGATATTTTTTTCTGTCTTTGAAAATAATGAACACATACACAAACACACACACACACACACACACACACACACATACACACATTTCCAGCAGAAACTTGAGATACAGAAAATTTCAACAATAGAAAAAAAACCCTATAATTGCCTGGCTGAGACATAATCAAGTTTGGTAGGAGATAGAATTCTTATATAGAACAATTTAGGATTGCATCAGAAAAGAAAGATCATACTTCATTCTGATTGTACTTTGCTTCATTTTCTGTGTTGGAAAGTTATTCAGTAAACACATTTGGGAAAATGAGATTTGGAATGTAGAATTCATCTAAAACTAATAGGGCCTTGAGACGACAGAAATATCTATTTTGCTTTAAATAAGCTCATAGCAGTGACAAGAAATATTTATCCATAAGAAGAAACTTCCAGGATCCACTTTCTTCCCTTCACTAATGCCCACTTGCTCCTGATGTGTCTTGCATTAAGTGGTTAGCATGTATTATAGATGCTGCTGAGATCTCACATGGGCTCTGCTTGCATGAGAAATGACCATGGGAGGGAGGGAGGAATGGCCAGGGGCTGAAAGAAGAATCCTCAGGTCAGAGGGGACCACTGTTGAACCCTTGGGGATGTACCTTACCTAGGATCTGAGTTGGTTTCATCTTTCTGTGCCCTGTAGATACAAAAGCAGACCAATGAGCAGCAGCAGAACTGCAGGGGGACAGGGATTCCAGGTGCTTGGGTTGTGGGTGGAGCAGCCCACAGGAGGCCGCAGAAGGCCATACCAGGTGTAGCAAAGATTCAGCCGCAGGAGGCCATACCAGGTGTAGCAAAGATATCTTCTCTTGTGAAATATGCCAACTAAAGAGTGACAGCATTTGGGAGCCCAGGATCTTAAAACTGTTTTACCTAGCCTCCCTGCAAGATTTCCTAATAATTCTTTTATAACTAAAAAGCAATAAAAATGTTTTCATATCAAGGAAAAGAGTTGTTTTTGATTATTAAAATGAAGAGTTTGCAAGTGAGCTAGAATGAGTAAAGGGAAGAGAAATAACCCATGACCTCATAACTAAAATTCCTCACCTACTACTATGACTATTTGTTGGGGAACTTCTCAGAATGGATAATAGCAAGAGTAGGAACGTTTTCATGTAGGTATGTTCTAGGCATGTTCTATGGGCTCTACATACAAGTGAGTCCTTTCAACTGCCCTGCGAGTTACACACTCTCTTCCTCCTTGCTTTACATCTGAATAAGCAAAAGCTCAGAAAGGTTTTCCACTCAGGAAGTGGGCTTAGTTATTGGACATGGCTGCTTCTGATGTAGTTCTTCCAAATGAACCCCCAAACTCACTTAACATGTCACCCACAGAGTTTCTCTTCACCTAGTGAGGGCAGTGGAAGATGTTGTAATAGTGAACTGTGGAGCCATACACTGGGGCTTGCATTGTAGTTCTAGCAACAAGCCTGGTGTCTTGACCTGGGCAAGTCATGCAATCTCTCTATACTTCACTTCCTTTTCTGTACAATGGGCAAGAGGATGCCTCTCTCAAAGGATTATTTTGGGGGAACTAAATGAGGTAATATTGAAAAGTACTTGGTACAGTGCCTGGCTCAAAAGAATGGTACTCCTTATGATTCCTACTAATTCTTGTTACATTAGAAATCAAAGAAAGAGGTGTGTATACAGACTGAGATAATACTGGGCCCTCTCACTGATTAGAGGAAATCCTGCAAGATATATGTGTGTCGGGTGACAATGGAGGGCAGATGTCCAGGAGAAGAGTTAAGAGTTTCCTACAAATGGACAGAGGATATTTGTGTCCCAAACACTTGGGCTGGTGGAGAGAGAAACATGGCAGGGAGGCAAAAGTGGTAATCCCAGAAAGGAGTCTGGGATGGCCTTCAAATGTTGAGCTTGGGTAGGACTGTGATGGGGCTGGAACATGGAGCCACTGAGGGTGTGGACTAAATAGGGAACCAGTCAACGAAGGAAAGTGCAGGTATCCCTCGATTTCTCAATTCTTGCTTATCCAAACCTAGGAAGAGAACAGGTTCAGCCCAGGAGGAGACCTCAGGAGACTGGAGAGCAAATCAGAGGCCCTGCAATGCAAAGCAGACTAACAGCCTGGCCAGCAACCCCCGAGGTATAGATTCAGCTCAACCATATTCAGCATTGTAAAGGAGATCTGTTTATTTTATAATCTCACATGATAAGATGAATGCTTTCTGCCATCTTGGCATTAGGTTCTGGAATGTCCACTTAAAACACTGGTATGCTCTCAAAAGATTTCTTATCCTGAACTTTTTGCTGTTGTGTCACTGGTATGTTGGCCTTGTGATAGTTGGAAGGAAGCAAAAGTCAGTACCTTTTTGATAACAACTAAAATCCTTGGGTTTATATAATGCCATATGACATGAGGGCCATTGTTTAGCTCTTGGCAAAGTTATGAATGCCCAGGGCAGAACACCAAAGAAAAAAGTCTACTTTGAAAGCTTTCTCAGAACAAATCTGAGGGAATTTGCTGGTTAATGCAAATACATGTCCAAACAAGTACTGGTTTGCTTAGGGAGGACATGGAGCTGGCAAGCCTTGCTTGGCACACAGAGCGTGAGTAATGTTTCATTTTAATGAGGAATCTTGGGGGTCTATAATGAGGACTATGTGGTATTTCCCCTGTGTCTGTTTGGAATGTGGACTGATTGTACCTACAGTGGAAGACAGGCCATCAGAAAGTACATAGTTCCAGAAACCTCTGGGGCTCACAAGATGCAGATAGTTTAAACACATATCAATGAATTTGCAGAGTTCCCAGACTGAGTAACCTGTCTTTTCCACAGGTAAGCAAATATGAGTGCAAAGTAATGAGACTATATTTGGGGTGGGGGTGGGGGATGAGGAATTGATTTTAAAAATTTTATTTTAAAGAAGTGGTTACACTCAGGGTTAGGTATAAAAATGTTCATTATACAGGTACTCTACTTGATGAGGTGTTCCTCTCACTCCCTTGGCAGTTTCCCTCAACTGCCAATCCCACCTTCCCTTCCACTACTGCCAATACCTTTCTTATAGTATTATGATAACTGTTCAAGGTCTGCTTATGAGTGGGAACATGGTATTCTGTTGTTTCTGTGATAGATCACTGAGTATGATTGACTCTAAATCCATCCAAATTGCTGCAAAATTCATATGTTTGTCCTTTTTTATGGCTGCATAATATTCCACTGTGTATATGTACCACATTTTTTAATCTAGTCCGGCTTCAATGGGCAGCATGGTTGGTCCCATGTTTTTGCTATTGTGAATAGAGCTGCAACAAACATGCATGTACAGGTATATTTTTTGTAGAATGATTTGAGTGAGGAATGGATTTTTAAATGAATACTATATGCAGCTCCAGGTATATTTTAAACATTGTGGCATGCCTGGAATAATTGTGTAGCTTCCCTACTTGACTCTTCTGAAAAGTAACAGTTACTTGAATCTTGAATACCAAGTTCATTTGAGTAAAGCACATAAGTTTGTTTTTTAAGACATAGCTTTAGTCACACTACATCTGTGAGTCCAGATCATTTAGACCTTTTCTAGCAAAGAAAGTCAATATTTAAGGTTTTGGATGGGGGGAAAAATGTAGAAAGTGATTAAGAAAGTGAACTCTCCCCCAGTCCTTGCAAAAAGTCTTCACTAGTTGATGGTGAGGCAGATGGGATGAACTTTACTGCTTGCCTGTTCTGGGGTCCATCCTTGAAATGTCCCCTTAGATCCAGCCACAGGGTGTGACTTCCTGGCAGCAAATCCCCATTCTGCTCAGATCTGGGGCATTATGTGATTGTTTATGCAAAGTATGTAAAGTACTGCGCTAACCTTTATTTTATATTTCTACTCCAGCTGGAGCAAAAAACCCCACAGAGACTGGGCCTCCCAAAGAGCTCCAGACTTTTAAAAATACAGTTGCAGAGTGTTTGGAAGAACATTATCCAGTCCTCCAGGCTTGAAGGAGGGGATGGTGATCCAGAATACAAGACAAAAGAGTCTCAAGAGGCAGAAACATTGGCAGGAGAGAACCTCCTCTCTGTGTGTTAATCTATCAAAGAGGACTTAGAATTATAAAGAGAAATAAGAAATTATCTATATTAAGATAAATATATTTTGAGGTGTTAAAACCTGATAGGAACTGATATTAAAGTATGGTAGACTTTTCAGGCAACAACTCTTTTATTAAATCAATTTGGTACCTCACACTTAGGACTAAATTGTGCTCAACAGCCCACAGGAAGATTTATTATGGTTTATTTACCCCAATATTTAAAAACAAAACAGTTTAATGCAGTCTATACATAATAGCTAATTCTGGAGTAGGTTTTAAATGGACCGAGGAAAATGTTCATTTTCACTCGTTTCCTAGTAAGTTTAAAGTCATTGCTCTAAGAGGTCACTCCTGCTCTCATTTGTGTTTGTTGCAACTCCCTCCCCCACCAACAAAAGCAACAACAAAAAAATCCAAGCAAAAAAGCCCTTAAGCAATAAAACTGGTGTCCAAGAAAAACATTTAGCTTGAAAAAGAGTTGAAAAATGTAGCCTTGGAAGAAACACTGCTTACATGGGATTGTTCAACAAATTCCTGTTGTGTGAGGTTTGGCATATACTTTCTAAAAATATAAGCATCTGGGGAAATGAGACAAAGCCCAGGTCTTGGACCAAATGAGGCACGCAGCGTGAATCTGTTAGTGATTATATCCATAATGAAATATGTGCCCAAATTTAGCAGTGCAAAATCTAATACAATAAGAAAGCCCAGCAGGCATGGTCCTTACCATAATATATAGCCAACAGAGAAGGTGCATATGGCGGCGAGTCCGCTGCTCCTGCTGGGATACTGATGGTGCGATGTCCTCATCTCGATTAATATAAAGGGCAAAACTGTCGTGTGCTGGAAAAGAACAGAGACTAGGTGACACAGATTCTTATCGTTGCCTCTCCATAGTTGTTTTTTCTCCAGTAGGAGAATGCACACTGTAAATTCCTAGGAAGGTGCCAAGCAGAAAACAGGCTATGGCTCGCCGACGAGGTAGATGTGAAAAGATGTCCAAATTGATGCACTATCAATTGCTCCAACGGCATTTTTCTTCTTAAATTTTGAAACTGCATTTTATTTATGTCTGTTATAGGAAATTTCAAAAAGATAGAAAGATGCATAGGAAAACCAGAAACAAAAGAAGGGAATAAAAAGAAACGCTGTTAACATTTTGTTATATGTTCTAATTTTTTTCCTTCCCCCTCCTATTACTCATACACAGTTAAGATCATGCTGTACATGCAATTTTGTTTTGAATTTTTATCACAATGTTGCAGCCTGTGAATTTTTGATGTGTCATTTTAGAAATTCTTCTGGAACATCAACCTTGACCATAGCTGCTGAAAATTCCATTATATAAATACACCAAGATTTATTTAACCAATTCCTGTTCTTGGACAGTAAGATATAAAAAGTTTTCAACTTTTCGTTTATTAAAAATGTCATGATGAACATCTTTTATAAAAGTCTTTGTATGAATGTCTGAATGTTTAATTTTTTTATAGTCAAAGATTATGAAGATTTTAAGGCTGTGATACATAATGCCAAATGATGCGTGTACCAGCAGCAAGTTTAGAAATAATGCCAAATTAGCTTCCAGAAAGGGTGTACCAGTTTGGATCAGCAGTGTATGAATTTAGATAAGATATCTGAAGGTAGAATCCCAGGAAGCTAAGTGGAAAACTTCCTCTGTTTTTCTGATTCAGTGGCTACTCTAGATACTAAGTTCAGTGGACCAAGATGAAGTTGAAATTTATCCCATCTACTGGTAAGAAAAAAGGAAAGCCAAATTTCTAAATCCTTCAAAGAAACAAATTCTTGGTACTGAAATTTAGTGGACAGATAAAAGGGACAAAGAGCTTCTTAGATAAAACTGGGTTAGGATATATACTGGAGACTTTCTCAAGAGTACAATGTTGGTAGAACTGAAAACTGACCCATCAGCAGGTTTAAGTTCTGTCTAGTACCTCCTTAACAGCCGTGAAAGAGTCTTTGTCCTGCTTTTGCTGTATTATTTGCTTGTTCGAGGAAAAGGCAAGAAATTGAAAGCTATGATTTTCAAACTTTAATAAGTATTTCAGCAAAATGGAACCAGGTGGCAGGCAGGCCTCGGCAGGCAAAAGGCATGTTGGGGACATCAAGGTGAATATCTTTGGAGCAACTAATTGTTTATAATCATAGAAAAAATAGACATGATGTTGCAAAAAATATTGAGACAGTGAACATTCTTTGCCTCAAACATTCTCCTCTAGATACTGCCAATACATTAGTAATTAGTGTGGCATTCCAAGAAAGTCAGGTGAGTGATCCCACAGTTGGGTGACTTTATATTTGTTACCTTTTATCTTCTTTATTATTATTGTCTTAAAACATTATACCTAGCTCTGAAGGAAACCATGCAAGCAAAATGTACATGTGTGCATTTTAAAGATCTATTCTATTGGTTTTTCATTGTAATCTAGTTACCTCAGATGATACTGGCCTGGAATTTCACCAACAGTTTGAGATGCCAACAACAGCTTTACAATGGTACATTCATGTCAAATTCAAATATCTAGCTAGCAATAAGATTATGACTTATCAAATCTTACACAGAAGAAAAATACCTGCAAATCAAACCTCTACCCTGGAGGTAATGTTGACTCTGATGGCCTGTGTGGGTTATAAATGATAATAACATTATTTTTGGCTCATGAATATTAAACAATTTCTTAAATTCTAGCTCTTTATTCACTGCTCAAAAGCAAGTAGAAAATCATCCATTTTCTATAAATTTATATTGGTTATATAAATAACCACTCAGAATATGTTTAGTTATCCAGTTATCATTCTTTTATCTAACCTAGTTGCTGATTATCAGGTGTCATACCTGGAAGGATCAAGAGGTATTTTGACCATGCCAGGGAGAAAATCAATTCAAAAAGGAAGATCTTTTTAGACCACTTTATCAATGGCATCATCACCACTAGAAAGGAGCGAATTGTTCCATCAATGACATAACCACTGACAAGAGATCTTTTTGTGGCTAGCTGTGTATGTGCAAGTTTGGCTGGTGACAAATCTCAGGAGGTTTTTCTATAACAAGGCAACAACTTACCGTTCAGAATTTTCATGCACGAAAGAATGCACATCTCCTCCTCTAAAATTTTATAATGCAAATTGTGTTTACTTATAAATAGTATATATTACCAAATGTAGATCAGTGCAAAATATTACTGCACATATAAATATTGCCTTACTGATTACTAAAGTTTTATGAACTAAAAAAAATGGTAAAAATCTATAAATGGTTCTGCTGAATATCTAAGTAACCTTTAGTGGTTTAGTTTTAATTTAAAATAGCAACAAGAGAGACAATTATTTTAGATCCACAGTTACAAGAAATTTATTTCCAACCCATTCGCAGGCAATACTCTGCTTCCATGACTTAAGAACCAGGAGGGAAATATTATTATTATTATTATTATTATTATTGAGTTGGAGTCTCACTCTGTCACCCAGACTGGAGTGCAGTGGCCGCTCCCGGCCACCACAACCTCAACCTGTTGGGCTCCGGCGATCCTTCCACCTCAGCCTTCCCAGTAGCTGGAGTTACAGGCATGCGCTACCACACCCGGCTGATTTTTTTAAAATTTATTGTAGAGATGAGGTCTTGCTGCCCAGGCAGGTCTCGAACCCGTGGGCTCAGACAATCCACTCACCTCAGCCTCCCAAAGGTGCGGGATTACAGGCTGAGCCACTGAGCCCGGCTGAAATATTCAACTTCAATTAAGACTATCACTGCATAAAAATGATTATCTTATGTTTTGTCACTGTGGTATCCATAACACTTAGAAAAGTGCCTGGCACAAAGGAGGCATTCAATTAATATCTGTTGAGATAATGTAATCTTCAAAACAACATCCTACAAGGGTATTATTTATTCCATTCTGCAGATGAGGCAAAAAAAGGCTCAGAAAGGTTAATTACCTTGCCTCAGATCACAGATCTAGTAAGTCTGGAGGTAGATTTAATACCAGTTTGGTCTGTCTGCAAGTCTCATGCTCTTTTTCTTGCATTAGAATTATATTTTAAAAGGATATTAGAGTCAAATAATTTTTGAATCTATAAATCTGTGGGAGTGCATAATTGAAGATCATGTGCTTTGTCTCTCAGACAGATTGGAACTATTTTTTTGGTTGGGTCTCAAAATAAACAAAAAAGTCTTCATTGTAAAAAATGAGTTTTGCAAAATGTGTTCTTTCCTGTGGCATATTATCATCTCAATAATAATACGCAATAACATTAGCTAGCATAAAGTTAGAACCTTCTATTGGTACAATGACAGTTACAGATGACTGGAAGCAGACTTAAGAATGATCTAGTTCTGTTTCCTCAAAAACAAATATAGTCTTTTCAGGTAGTTGTAGATCAATTTTCAACAAACAAAAGAGATAAAATCTGGTCACCAGAGGAGGCTTTAAGAATTGTATTGGACTATTTTCTGCAGTACTAAGACAATTCCCCAGCAACTGAATTGCCAGGTTAAAAACAAGGTTTGATTTGCTTTAAATGCTACCTAATATGAAGTGTTGACAACCCAAGGAGTGAACCCTTTATCTTTCATATAAACTTTGCCCCGAAAAGTACCAGTCTATGATATAAGTTGTGGTCATGTCCCAAGCTCTATCATCCATTGTTGCTAGTTTTGATGAGAAGCTGTATTTCAAAGATTGTATCCATAAACAGAAGCCCCAAACTATTTGGGGATGCTGCATGCTTTGTGTTTTTCTTAGTGGGGTCCAAGTGGAGTCCCTGTGAGGGAGTGATTATTGCCATGAACTGACCAGCTCCTCATGGCCAAGGTCTACAGAGGAAAATCCAAAAGGTGGTGTCACATCTACAGTCTTCCTCAGACCTGAGCAGAGGGCTGGATTTGCAGAAGGACCCATGATGAATTTTGATGTGAGGACCCTAAAGCAGATGGAAAGATAATAGCTTTGAAGAAGAGGATCAAAGGAAAAAAGCAGTGTAGTGATGTGGAAAGAACAGAAAACTGGCATTGGAGATCTAGTTCTGATTTTCACTGTAAGACTCACAGGTTCTTGTCCATTTATGAAGCTTAGTATTATTCTTTTTAAAATGAGGGGGTTGGATTAAATTAGTTCTTCTCAAACTTCTGTCATGAAGAACTGATGTATGAGTTTTGCTCTAATACATACCATGGCTGGCTACCCCATGCATAAGGAACAGTAGACACAGTGTCAGTGCTCATGAAAATGTTTCAATTTATTTTAAAATCAGAAGAAAAATGAACTTTCAAAGTTGAAGATTATATTCATCTTTATACTAGTATAGTCATAAAACATTATATATATAATATATGATATGTATATGTATACGCACACATTAATGCAAGAAGGCGCCCACAAACTCAAAATGCCTATAGTCTACAAAGGCCATTTTTGTGGCCCTGTCATATGCTACTTGATTAAAAAAAATTTTCTTACTCAATTCACATTTTTCTTAAAGAAATATACTTACAGGAAAACTTTATGTAAACTCCCATAAATGGAATATCACGTCATAAATAGAAGATAACCATAAAAACAAATACAATAAAAACTAACTTATCTTAACAAATATTTGCTGATACGTTTGCCTATCAAAGGCTCTGATTTTGAGGTCTGCTCTGTGTTAAAAAAAGGATGCTGGTAAGTATCAGAGGGGCATTAGAGACAAAATAGCATGAAATAGAGACTTGTTTAAACAGAATGAGAAGGACTGAAAGATAATAGAGGGAATAAGCTTATCACTATGTAATTTAATATTATTTAATGCAAGGTCTCTGTGACATAAATTATCTTGCATACCTGTGAGGTCAATTTCTGGACATAGACCCTTCTACCCTATGTCCAGCTCCTTTCTGCCCCTCCTCCAGGGAACAGACTCTGTCCATGACTGGTCTCTGAAGGATAAGCATATTCCCAGTAATGAATCACTGGGTGTAGGTGACCAAGCAATGCTAAAAGTCACGCGGTTGTCATGCGCAATCAATGTATTTGTAAACACTGGATAGAAATTTGAGTAATTAACTTGTTTGCCTATAAAACTGCTTGCTGTAACTGCCCTGGAGTATGGTTTTGGCACTGGCTTGTCACATCAGTGCCTCTTAGGTGGACCCTTTCCTCACCGAATGGTTGCCATCAGTGCCTTCTTTAAATTCTAATAAGCCAATGTCTTTCCCTGCTGGACTTCCAGGTGACTTCCTTGGATTATGTAAAGAACCTTACGTGCAAGCCCTCTCAGCTTTGGGTTTGCTGTGTTACAATACCCTACAGCTATGCAGCCTACATGCTGGGAAGCACTGGAACAGATTATTTATGTTATAGTTGTACCTTCTAACAACTAGATTATTTGATTTATGAATGGATGTTCTTTCATCATAAAAATGAAGAGATGGATGAGTTGGAAGTTTAGGTACTAATGGAGAAATGTAATGGTGTTGAAAGAAAGATGTTCACGCTACACAAGAATGATCAGGGATGGCTCTTGGAGAAAACATTTAGACTACTGTGATTGCAATCTAGGGCTATAAACTACAGGGAAGTTTTAGACTGATCTTTGCTGTGGATTAATAGAAGTACTAAAAACGCTGCTGTGTGATGATATAAATTCAGGCAAATGGGATGAATCCATTAGGCTACCTCTTAAGATTTTTTTTGAAGATCCTGAGAATTAATAGCTGTCATCAAAGTATACAATACAAAAATAATAGATGGAATTTGAAGATTAGGTTCAGCTGCCATTGTTCTAGTCCTTCTCCTTTCCAAAATATTTTTCAGTAGGAAAATACTGCTCCCACATCATATGACTACCAGGTAAAAATCATCTCTTCCTCGGAAGCAAAACCAGCTTTTGCATATTAGATGTGTCCAGGCTCGCTGGGTCATAGGAGAGCTGGTGACCCCATGTCTACTACGTGACTGTAGGACACAAGCAGACCTCTGGGGGTGCTCTCACAGTCATGTGTGCGTCAAGTTGCCAGGTGAGCTTGTTCTTGTCTTTATGTTTTCTAATATTCCCATGACAACTGTTGATCATAAATAGAAGGATGGCTGTGTGTGTGTGCGTGTGCGTGCGTGTGGTGTGTATGTCCATTATATGAGGGTTAAAGAGGTGACGGGACTTGCCTAGGAAGATGGGGTAAGGAAGGTCCCTGTGAAATCCATCAAGTTTACTGGTATATTATGAAGTAAAATAATATGGAAAAACCTCTTTAGGATACAAAAAGTTGTGCACTTCAGATTGTAATCTGAATATTTTGTTTGTTTTCTCCTTTTTCCGCTCAGCTACCCATAGAATAAAAGCAGATTAAAAACTAGAAAAGTTTTTATTCCGAAATAAAGTGGGAAGAAATTTCCTGGTTTGAAAATAAAGTCCATCGTATTTGCAAAAAAAAATGATAAAAAAAACACTAGAAAGGGTGACATCAGAAAAACTGAGAAAAATCACAAAACCCTGGCTGATCCTAACCCTCGGTAGGGCTTCTGGGTTTCCCAAATAAGTCAGATGTTTGATGAATACAGGAAACTGAAGCTTTGGGTTGGGGAATACGAAGAATCAGGGTAGGTTTTCCCTTGGAGCAACTGTAAAATCAGGGTCAGTGGATGAAGTGTTTCTCCTCTTCAAGGGAGAGAGAAATAACATCCCAGTCGGCTTGGAAACAAAACTGACGCAGACTCTAAAAAACCTGAATTATTAATCCCTGCAAATCTGATAAAATGTTTTATTCTGAAACTGCTGTTATTCATTTTACTAACTGATCAGTTCAAAATCTGTCCCCCTCGCTGGCTCCCTTCCTAGTAGAGGTATTGTCATATTTTGAATGACAGGGAACTCTGCCAGTCTCAGCCACCATCATTTCCGTTTCTCCAGAAATCAAATGGAATTTCCTCATGTCATGAGCCTCTCTCTCCCATGAGCTGGGTGCTGGTTTTAGTTTGGTGGTGCCTGTAAGTATGACACAGGAAATGTCTAGAAATTTCCAGAGCCTTTTTGACTATGCCTTTTTGCGGTTATGTTGGATATCTGTTCCTGCTGGCTGTCAAATCAGGTTGAGACAACCTTATACTGGAGCAGGCTTATGTCCAAACATGAGGTTAAAACAACGACCCAGGATCAAAAACTTAGGTTCAGACGGAACCAACATTTATTGTGTGTCAGTATGTTCCAGGTACTTCTAAAACTCTTTATTGGCTAAGTTCTCAATTTGGGATTTACTCAGTTCTAATATTAGCCCCAACAACTCTTAGGTTATAGTGTTAATAATTATTTTTTTATTTTTATTTTTTATTTTTTTTCATAATCAATATTTTTTATTATGGTTTTGTGGGGTACAGTTAAGGGTTAGGTGTATAATTACGTTTCATTCAGGCACCCTGTTGATAAGAGGTGTTTCCCCATCCTCAGACAGATTATTTGCTACTGTTAATCCCATCTCCCTCCCCCTCCCATAGTTTCCCAGTACCATCAGTCCTTTTCTTATAGTATTACATTGGATGTTCAAGGTCCATTATATGAGTGAGAACATGTGATACTCGGATCTTTGTTTCTGTGAGAGGTCACTCAGTATTATAGACTCTAGTTCCATCCAGGTTGCTGCGAAATTCATGATTTTGGATTAAAAAATGTAGTTTTAATAATTAAACCAAATAAACAAAAGAGTATTGCGCATTTAACAGACACGCTTACCTTTGCAATTAAGAGCAACTATGCGTCATAGAAATCATTACACCAGACAGTGAAATAGTTCACTGGACTATTTTTTTTGCATTTCAAAAGCATTTTTAACATGACTGGAGGGCAATAACTATCTTTTGTGGAATCTTTCTAATGAAGCCATCCCTGAGGTGCTAAGGGTCCCTGACATTATCAGGAGGTGCCTGTGGTGTTTTATCTTTTCTTTCCAGCCTAATAGCCTGTAAACCACCAATTAAATATTTCTTTTTGTAGCTGGGCATGGTGGCTCACACCTATAATCCCAGCACTTGGGGAGGCTGAGGTGGAAGGATCACTTACGGCCAGGAGTGTAAGACTAGCCTGAGCAATGAGACTCTGAAAATGAGACTCTTGTCTCTACAAAAATATTTCTAAAAATTAGCCAGATGTAGTGGCTTGTGCCTGTAATCCCAGGCACTTGGAGGCTGAAGTGGGAGGACTGCTTGAGTTCAAGGCTGCAGTGAGCCATTATCATACCACTGCACTCCAGCCTGGGTGACTTGACAAGACCTTTGTTTTTTGTGAATGGAATGTCAGAGATGACCCATGTTTACCATAAAATATAGCAGAGATTTTTAAAAGGCCTAATGTTAGCTTCTTCTGCAAAGATGTCACGATTAGTACTTGTAGTTCTTACGAAATAGCACCTCTAGTTACTGCCCTCAGACAAACAAACCATTACAATACGGCAAGACATATGCAGACCAATGATGGTGTAAAGGCCGAAGGTATTTGCTCTGCTTGGGTGGGTGAAGACAAGACTTCACATAAGCAACAGACATTTGAGCTGGGTTTTTAAGTATGACTAGGTGTTTATAAGCAGGAGAAAAGATAAAGGAAAGAGTTTATTCACAAGGCCAAAGACAAGAAAAAGCGCGTATGGCACAGCACAGTCCACTAAGGGGACTCTTACCATTGCAAGACGTGGAGGTGTATGAAGGACTAAGCTTGGATGCGTAAGGTAGCTATCTGCCAGATCCTGGAGGGCTTTGAGATGGGCTTTGTCCTGTTGGAAACAGAGTTCTCTCTAGCCTTAAACTTCTTCCAAGGAATTTAAGATGGATAGAAGCAGAAGAAACAAGTTTGGATATTAATAACAGAAAGATCAACTGGAGACAGGGTGGAGGAGGGAGCGGAGAGTGTAGAGGTTTATCTGCTAAGTTGCTGCCCT